GAGATAAAAGCAATTGTGAAGTGAGGCGCCCGGTTCAAGGAGTAAGCCTCCCCACTTGAGAAGACAACTGTGGCGGTGCCACGAGGCTGTGATTCATAGGCTCACCTTTTAGGGGTGGAAAGACCAGGGAAGAAACTTATTTACAAAAATGAGAATAAAAAATATTCTGGGCTGGGTACGGTGAGCCATGCTTATAATCCCAACGCTCTGGGAAGCCAAGGCGAGAAGATCATTTGAGCCCAGGAGTTGGAGGCTGCAGCGAACTATTAGAGCACCACTGTACTCCAGCCTGGACAACAGAGTGAGATATTGTCTCTAACAAAAAGTGTAGGGGGAAAATAATTTTCTAAAACGAAGCTGGAGGTTCTGCACAACAAGATGAGGTTTTCCTGTCCTCTCTAGGGTAAATGAGGCATGCAGGCGCCTGCACCCTCTAGGTGAGGACAAGGCGTGTGAGAGTCTCTGGGTCTGCCCCAGGGCCGCCGGCGGCCTCTGGGCGGTGCCGCCTGGTGGGCATCATCCTGGACGCGTGGATAACCAGGGCTGAGGGAGTCCAAGGTACATTGTGTTCCTCACCACAAGATGTCGCCGCTGCTAATGATTAGAGGGCTCTCAGCAAGACCAACTCCCAACCCCAGACGCTGAGTCAGAAACTCTGGGGTTGGGGCCCAGCAATTCGTGTTTTTCACAAGGCGTCCAGGGGATTCTGAAACATGCTCAAATTTGAGAACCATTGGTAAAAGGCATCCTGCAGGTCTCACTGCCTCTGAGGTCTGCCCTTTCTGCTAGGTGGTCAGGGCAACTCAATCTGTTACCCACCTGGAGTCCCACCCCAGTGCCCAACTAGGGCAGGACCTAGGATCTCAGAGCTTCAGTTTTTTCAATTGCAAAATGGGGATAGTAGTACCCACCAGACAGGGCTGTCACGAGGCTAAAATGAGTGTCTGAGAATGCATTTGCGCAGGGTAAAACCTTATGCAGTAAGGATATGTTGTGACTGTTGCTTTTATTTGGAGTGACAAGCTCTAAAGCAAGTTGAAGGCAGCTGGTTCTGAAGGTTCCATACTCTCTCTTGTCTTCTCTCCAATGCTCCTATTTCTCTCCCCTCCTAGAATTACCTTTCAGCCACCCAGGGAGAGCCACGTTCAATGCACCAGCTTGCAGCACAGAAATAGCTTAACTTTCATCTAGTACTTGTCATGTTCTAGACTTTGAGTGGAAAGGTCTAAGTGTGTTATTTTATTTAATCCTTACACAGCCCTATGAGGTAGACACTACAAAGGATGCTGATAAGGCAACTGATAAAACACCAACAGATGAGATAATTTGCCTAAAGTCATGTGGCCAGCAAGCAATAGGGCTGGATTTGAACTTGGGCAGCCCAGCATACATTCATGCTCTCAATGGCTCCACAATGCTGCCTCCCCTAAAGCTTGTTTCCCAAACCCTGCACGGTGAGAAGCAGCATGGAACTGCGGAAAGAGCACTGGGTTGGGATTCAAGATCCTGGTTTTGCCATTTTCTAGCTCTGTGATCATGGGTGAATCATTTAACCTTTCTGAAGTAGAGTCTTGGGAGGGTTACATCATGTAACACACAACAGAGTGTCTGGTATAAAGTAGGTGCTTCATATATTTACTGTGTCCAACAGCCTCCTCTTTCCTCAGTGTCCCCTCCCTCAATCAGGCAAAGATGATTCTGGGATCCAGAGGGACAAAATGTATGCCTTCTTTCCCCATCGTGTCCCTGAAAGGCACATGATGAGGCTGGAGTCAGGACCAGGAGACAGGCTCCAATCCTGGCCCTTGCTCACAGCAGTCTCCCCAGGTGCCCTGCCTACCAACATGGGGTCACTGGTATTCAGTTGCTCCCCGGTTTCTCCCTTCGATGGCTCTGAACCTACAGCTGTCCAGGGAATGCATGGAGTTGGTCAGGGAAGCTCTACCATGCCTAGTAGCTAGCTAGCTTTCTCCAACTCTCCTTCTGAAACTTGGCCAAGCCCCCTACCTCTTACTCAGCCCACTGACTCTTGAGCTCTCGCTGGAGTGAGGTGGGATAGCCAGGTGAGTGTGTAATGTGGAGACATTGCAGATCTAAGTTTGAATCCTAGTTCTGTTTCTTACAGGATATTTAACTCGAATAAGTCCCTTTGACATGCCTCCTTTTTCTCATTTATTCTTTGGAAAGCTTTTTTCTTTTTTCTTTTTTTTACAGAGATGGAGGTCTTGCCATGTTGCCCAGGTTGTTCTTTGAACTCCTGAGCTCAAGGTGCTGGGATTATAGGCATGAGCCACTGTGCCCAGCCCTTTTTTTCTTTTTTAATCATTTTTCTACTCCCCCAAAAATGCAGAAAAATCATTTGGATTCCTATCCACCCCCTTCACAATTGGGCTGTTTTTAAAATTCTATTTCAACTCTGTCCTGGAACCTGTTTACCTAGAGGAAGCCCCTACACCTTTCCTTCCAAACCCCCTTGTGGAAGTTTGTGTTCCAACTTCCCAGGAAGGAGCAGAGTCATCATGCTCGCCCTTGTACCAACAATGTGGTTTTCCGCATCACTCTGTCCAAGATCCACAACCTCTGGGAGAGTGTGCTCAGTTGCCCAGGTTTGGCTTCACACCCAGCCTTGGCTAGTATTGAACAGGACACCTCATTTACTAGAGTATCAAGACTGTATACACAGGGGAAAGAAGTAATTCTCCAAGAGAAAATAAATCTGGAGTAATAATAATTTTAGAAAAGTACACCTGGGCCAAGGGTGGTGGCTCACACCTGTAATCCCAGCACTTTGGGAGTCCGAGGTGGGATCACTTGAGTCCAGGAGTTCAAGACCAGCCTGGACAACATAGTGATACCTCATCTCCGCAAAAAAATAAGAAAACTAGCTGGGTGTGGGGGGGAGTGGTGTCCGTAGGACCAGCTACTTAGGAGTCTCAGGTGAGAGGGTCGTTTGAGCTTGGGAACTGGAGACTCCAGTGAGCTATGATCGTGCCACTGTACTCAGCATGGGCAGCAGAGTGACACCTTGTCTCGAAAAGAGAAGTAAGAAAAGAGAAGAGGAGACAGCAGACCTCAAGGCAGAGGGGCAGCCACACTTGCAAGGGTGGAGCCCATTATCCCCCCGCTGGTCGTCACACCTGGACTCTGTAGGTGCCCTTGTTCTGGGGTAAGTGCACGGTGGAGCATTTAGGGGCAATAAAGCATTTTGTCTGCAGCTTGCTCTCAAATCATTCAGTGTGAAGACCTATGATAACAGAATATATGTAAAACTAGAATGATAGAGGGAGTGTGCAAATGAAATCTAACATTTGGGGAATCTGAAAGAAAAAGATGGGACTTCTTTTACTATTTTTGCCACTTTTAATTTGAAATTATTTTTTAAAACAACACATTTGAAATTAAAAACAACAACAACAACAATGTATTGAGGCCTGGCATGGTGACTTATGCCTGTGATTCCAGCACTTTGGGAGGCCGAGGC